CGGGAAGGAGTTCGTCATGGTAGCTGCAAGTTGGGTTATACCTCCATTTTCTTAGTTTTTCAGCAAACTTTCCATGTGGATGAAATCTGGGTGAGTGAGCTTGCACGGATGTTTTAAACATATCAAAAAATAACTACAACTCGCAACTCGCCGCTGGGATACTAAAACACAACTAGAACCTGTACAAAGCTCCGGCGGTGGTTGCTATGGATTCAATCTCAAGTCGGGGATGGACCCTCTTGGAACAAGACCAAGTGCTTGGAACCTGTGATAGTCAAGAATTCTTTGTGCGAAGAGGTCCACAAGTGTGAATTCCTGTCATCCTTTCAATCTCCACACGTAAAACTTCCCCACCATGTAACACCTAAAGTGGTTTCTTCATGTTTCTTCAAAGTATATGTTTTATAGCAAGGAACCGTGTTTCTGGTGTTCAGTATGTGTTTTTGTCATCCCAAACCATGGATCAAGCGGAACACCTTGGATCGACGTCGCGTTCGCGCCTGGATCAAGTCAATTCGTTTCTTGAAGTCCTGCCGCCGAAGCACCGATGGAAGCGCCGAAGCACCGACGCCGTTGCTTCGGTGAGGCAGTACGACCGCGATGTGACAAAGCTAGACATGTGCACTGTTGCTTAAAGTGGATCAAACTGGAAGAACTAGGTCATCGGCAACATCAGAAGCCAGAAGCTGGTTGCCGCAATGGACACCCGATTGTGGAGGCCGCCCTCGGTCTGTCTGGCGGGGGTTCCAGACTATAGAGGGTGAAAGCACTAAACAAACCAACAAACATAAACGAACTGAAGTCTTGATCCGTTGTAAGTTTCACAGGAAACCCGATGGAAGACCATTCCACTTGGATAGCCAAAGTGGCTCATAGAGGGGATCCTCTTTGTGAGTTGGACCACGACCCTTGCTGCACCGTCTGGTTTTCTCACAGTTTTTAGTGTTTCTATCGTGTGTTGTCTCTCTTTGGGGTACGTACCACTTCTACGCTACACTACCTGCTTCGGGTGGAATCAAAGAACATCCAGAGATCTGCAAGTTGGTGATGCAGTACCTGGGGCGAGATTCCTTGGACCATGCACGCCAAACGACCCTGTTGGCTGAGCTTCGCAAGGATCACTGAAAGAAAAGAGGAAAAGAACCGCTTCACTTGCAATTAGCAATCCAAAACATCATGTTTCCTAATTTTGGAACACAAAGAACTTCAATGCAGTCATGTGCAGTCATGTGCACAGCACTACAGCACCATGTTCAAGAAAACAATCATCATGGGGTCTGGAACCCATGTAGTTGTCTGATCTGGTGGCCAAAAACCCGGCTTGATGGGAGAACCAAACCGATGTTTTTCGTCAAAAAGGCTTTCGCAGCGCGGCTTGGTGCTCGCCAGCGCCTGGCTTTGGATCCGCACTCTCAGTTGGACCCACACATTTGATGTTGACGATGGGTAGACGGAGATGGCTAGACCCCCCCCCCGGGTCGGTGCCCGTCCTCGTTCTTGCGGAGGGACCTGACCGAGCGGATGGTGAAGGGTGGAGGGAAAAGCTTCAGTGGCGGAACGCGATGGCAGGCGATGGCCTGAGTGAGTCGAAAGCAATGGAGCAATAAGAAACAGATCATATGGAACATAAGATATGATCAGATCATAATCATTAGATTTTCAGATTCCTTCCGATGTCTACTTTGATTGGACTTGCTTGGAGGAAGGTCTGTAAGGTCCGCATCTTCTCCTGCCGGGTGGATATCCCAAACATAAACCAATTGTTTGGCGTCCACCTCTGAAAGACCTCTGCCGGGCTCTGCCGACCCGGACGTTTTCTTCAAGCATCAATTGGTTTGCTTCTTGGGGGCTTCCTCACAAGGTGTGATCTGAAGAGTTGAGAGTGATCTGAATTTGCTTCGCCCACCTTTCGCCGCACGAGGCATGCGCCCGCTCGTGCTCGCTCTCGTGGGAACTGGCTCCGAAAAAAATCCCCTGCTGAGCCGAGCTCCTCAAAGTCACTGAATCTCAATAGTGTCAGCATGTGTCAGCCCTGAATCATGCCATTTTCTACTTGACTCAGCCGTATTGGTCTAGCCAACAGCCTATGAATCATACCCAAAACAATTACGAAGTCCGAGCAAATTGTTTAAGAACCCTAAGTATAGCTACAGTACTATGTAAAAAATATATAATACGTCATGCGTTATTGCGTATGGCGTGTTTGGCGGTGTGTTTGGTGGCGAAGTTCCACTTGAGGCAGGCAAGGCTGCAAGCTCTCTTCCCCAACCCCGCCTCCCCAAACCAGTCTCCCCTCCCCTCTTTCCGCCACCAAGGTGCTGGTTGTTCTTTTTGGCCTCCGCAAACCATTGGGGCAACGACTTCCCAGCGGAGAGGTTGTAGACCTCTGCAACATGGCTGGATTCGATTCCGATCAGTCCAAGAGATGGACAGAGAAGACTCGTGAGATCTTCAAGCAGTGGAAGCAGGATGGTCCTGGTGCATCAAGCCCTGGAGAGAGAGCAGAAGCTTGGATAACTCAACTCACAACACCAGCAGGGTGAACTTCTTGCCGCTCAGACAAAAAGAAGCGCCCTCCAACAGGTCTCCTCGTTCCAGTCAGGTTGTTGGGCCCAGTGTTTGGGAGCTCAATTGGTCACCTGTTTTCGTTGGGTGCCAGAGCTCAGCGTCGACACCTCAGTTTTGCCGAGATCATCGTGTCCAACTGCTTATATCCCTGAAGACTTAAAAACACATTGTTTAATCAAAGACACTGTATCACACAGTGGTTTGTAGTGGAAACAGTTCTTCGATCTTTTAGAAATAACATCTTTCAAGGGTCTATGCATGGAATATTTTCCAAATACGATGTACAGTATGTCTTCTATGATCTTCCCTTCAAGCCAATGGAAAATCCCTCTCAAGAAGCTTTTTGAGGGTCACCCAGGACATTTTCAATCATCCGCGTTGACCGCCCGGAGCACCGCATTGACCGCCCACCTTGACGTCATTGAACTCAGTGACCTGTTGGACGGTGGACCGCGCCCGTCTCGCGGGCGAGTCGACTGATGAATCAAGCATCACATACCTAGCACTTCCAACGAGAGCCCTGTCTGGAGACCTGTAAGTAGGGTAGGGTAGTCTATTGGACACCCAGACAGGATGACCCTGGTAATAATTGTTTCATGTTTGTATATAATGGGGCAATTGAAATCATATACGTCCATGGATTTCTCTGCTTCCGCTGATTCCACTGGTCGTTGGAGACGCAACCTGAAAAAAACATGCGACATCGGAGCTCGAAACATCCAAGCACCACCTTCTGGGGCAACCCTTAAAAACACACACACATCAAAAGGGTGCACTAGTACACGAAAGGACCCACTAGTATCATGAAAGTGGAACATCGAACAGTTGGCGGCGAAAAACCCCGGACCACTGGAACAAGAAGGGGAGTTTTCCACTGAAAAAACAGCGTGAGTGGGAGTGTACTACGTCATTTTCACACAGAGGACTCGGAGATTGTTCCGCTCCATCGATGGCCCAAGGGCGTCGACTCGGAGACGCCACGAACGGAGCCGGACTCGACTGCCCGGGCGCTCCGGACGGAAGGGACGCCTGACATCGTGTGGAAGGGACAAGATCTTTGACTGATGTCAATCAATGACAAGGGATGACAAGAGTGACCTACATAGAGAGGGTATCGGATACCCCAAATCGAAGCATCATGTTGTGGCCAATTGTATCGGCTAGTTCGCGTGGTATCAAAATGAACTCTGATTTGCTTTTCATCAGCATGAGTCCTAAAACACCTCATCCACCAACAATGAACAATTATAAAAACAACAAAATAGCAACTTAAACAACTTCAGCATCAGACATCAAAAGCAACATTTAAAAAAAACACAAAAACACACAATAAACAAAATCAAACATCAACATTGACATGGATCCACATCCTTTCACCCTCCTCCGATCCTCACACCCCATCCGTGAACCCCACACCTGCATCACCGGTGCGACCCATCCATCGCAGTTTTCTCGCCCGGAGGAGTTTGGGTCAACTGTCCGGTGGGAAGGAGTTCGTTCCGTTTGAGGATAGCTATTTGTACATAGCTGGACTGCTGCGTGGTTTTTTGATTGAGTTCCAAAATAGTGCATATAGTTAGTTGGGGACATCGTGTTGTCTTTTTTGCAAAAAGGCAGCTCTAAGAAGCTCCGTTCTTGGAAACGAAACACCAGAGCTAGGTTGTTTTTTTTGGCAAACTGTTGATCTAAACTGGAGGAGCCCCACTTGGGAGCGTTGGGTCACCTGAAATCACCTCAAACCCTGATGGATTTCCGAGTGATCACTCCATCACTCGGAAATGGTTCCATTGTGCAGGGAGATAGTTTGGCGATGCACATGGAAGAATCTCTTCACTCCCAAACGCTCCGATGGGACTGCCATATGCCAGGGGGATCAATGGGGCGGCATATCCATCTCCCATGAGTCGTGTATGGGACTTGTATTCCCTGCCACGGCTCTCCGTTTTCGCATCGATCGGCCCTCAAGAAGCGCCGCGGATCGATGGCTAGCTGCGAGGAACGGACCGGTCGCAGCGAGGAGCGAGTCGCACCGACAACTGCACCGGCACGTGAGGAGTGTTCCACTCGTTGGTTCTGCCGAAGTAGATTGAACCTTTGATTCACTGGATCACGTGACTCAGCAACTCATTGAAACTTAAGGTCGTTTCACCACTACGTCACTACGCCCCAAAAACGACATAGGTCATTGTGTGCATAACGACGCCAAACGACGCCGCAGACGTCTACTTCTGCCGTCCTTCCGACCCGCAAACTTGGTCAGTGCACCAACCTCGCGGATGAGGGGAAGTTCCGAACTCGATCAGCAAACATCCGCAGTGACCCCGAACATGGCATCAATCTGTCTGCATCATCCTTTAGACTCTAGACGAGATGTATACCATTGTATACCCACATTTCGGTCCTGTGACGTCGGATTTTTGTCCGCTTTTTTCTTAATCGGCCGCATGGTCGCAGGATTCCTTCCGGGTTGCCTCTTCCAGCATCGTCGGCCAATCCCATCCGGTCACTGCTCCAGCATCGGCACGACTGGGCGAAGGTGAACTGGTTGCGATGCATCGTGCAGAAAATGCCTTCGTGCGAACTGTAGGAAATGCCTTCGTTTGTGTGGCCGATACATGCCTTCGTATCTTCTCTCCATACGCAGAATGGCAGCATATGGCAGCTCTAGTCATCCTCCGAAGTGCCAGTGGAGCCCTGTGCTTTGCACCCTCTTCTCCTGGAATTGGCGGCAAAACAGCAAAAACACCGTAAAGGCTATGGGCGAACATACTGACATATCCTGAGAATCACAAACGTGCCAACTCTTCTCAAAAAGCTATGGGCGCGCATCTTCCCAGTCCTTCCTTTCTCACCTTCTGCATCGCGTCTCGACACTGCCCTCACCGCGCGAACCAGGCAGAAGCCGGAGCAGCGCTCAGCAAAGCAGCGGCTGCCGCAGTGTGCCTTGGTTGGGCCAAGACTGGTCTCGGAACACTTGGAGAAGCCTCTTGATGCTTCACAAAAACAAGCATCCACAGAGCACTATGAATCCGTCCGATAGACATTGAATCTCTTGCAAGATTCGATGATTTCAATGTCTTTTGTTCGACCCACAAGATGGCTCCCCAGCAAATCACATCCTTGCCCGAGGTGCCTTTTTGTAGGAAAATACCTTATCGTTCGTGGTGTTGCTTTACTCCCCCAGCTGCGTCTCAGAGTGATCCCGGGTGAAAACTGGGACCCACGGCATCGCCCGGCATTGCGCCACCGACCGCCTTTCGAAACCAACAAAAACACCCGTTCAAACGTGCGAACGGTGTTTTTGCTTTTTGTTCCGGGCCGGTGGAGAAGTGGCTGGGAGAAACCACATCAACATGTCTGAATGTTTTACACCTGACAAATTGAGGAAGTGTTGGGACACATTGAAAGGGGGGCTAACGTATTCATTGAACACTTCCTTCAACACAGAAACAGAACTTCTGAAAAGCCTCCAATCCTTTGTCAAAATGGTGTTGCGCATACCCTCTGGAACCTTGACTTAAGTCATCAATAAAAACCCTTCGTATTATCATATAAGGAAACCGTTTCAAAGCACTGAGTCCTTGGGACATCCAAGGTTCGGAAAGTTCCTTTCAGCTTCCACACTCTTCCCTGCTGAGGTGGCGTCCACCGACGCTCCTCCCATGCGGCTCCGTTCGGCTCAGCTTCCGTGCTGAGGATTTCAGTTCGTTCCGGTGAGATGTGAGGAAGACAACCTAGACTAGCCTCCCACAAATCCCCTTCTCACCACGGAATGAGACCTTGCAGCCAAACACACAGCCAAATATGTAGCATATTGTAAGACCAACATGTTGCCTCATGATGGATTATGTTGCTTCATGCAGCGTCTTGGCGTCTTGGGTCGGATGTCATTGCTGAGACTAACTCGAGTTATCAATTCACAAAGCCCAAAGCCATTTTGCCGTCTGCGGACCATCAGATTTGAAGACCCAGATTGGCAGATCAAACGGCAGGAACGAGTTTGGAACATCTGAGTCCATCTCCCCGTATTGTATCTCTCAAGACCCGTGGGATTCCACTATCAAGTAGAAAGAGTGCTTGAATGGCGCTCCAAGGCAACTGCAAATCCTGATCTTTTGGCATGCTGTGGTATCTAATGTAGACTGTGTGACTGTTGATTGAATTAAAAAAGACTTTTGGAGATGTAAAACCATTCTGGTAGTGGGGAGTATGAATCAACAGTCAACTTTATACATGGTCCAGTCTTCGCTCCTCCACCAAGGCCGGCGACGTCCACGACCGCGGCGTAGCTGATGACCGGTGACGCCGACGGGTAGCTGCCGTAGAACTTGGTGCCTGGCTTCGGCGTTCTTCGACCTTTTCGGTCGCCACGAACGGAGAGGCAGGGACAACGGTCATGCCTGGTGTTTGCGTCGTCTCTGTGCATCGAAAAGCCACATAGAAACATGGCTTCTTTGGGGAACCCCCACTTTTTAGGCCTTTTGGTAAATTGAAATCCTCTACCTGTGAACCAGGTCCATAAAACGGGGTCCAGCCTTGAGGCAGATCTTGTGCCACTAATCACTCTCCAAACACCAGCGATGGACTTCTACTCCGTCTCCCCAAACAGTCTTCATGCAGATCGCGCTTTCCTCCGATCGCGTGCCTCCCGGCAGCGAGGGCATGTAGTACCTAGGACCACGAGTTGCCCCGACCCGACGAGGTCCGTAGTGCCGAGGTCCCGCTCGTCGACGAAGGGTGGGCGAAGTGCTGAACACCCGATGTGGGAGAGATCTGATGGTGTTCCCTCCACCTGCTCCCTCCACAGTCTTCATGCGTGCGACTCCTAGCTTCATAGCGCTACGAACGCTACAAAGCAACGGTTCAAATATCATCTTGATGGTACAATCAGTGAAGTATCCAACAGGTTTCACGCAATGCCCAAGAAAAGGACGGAAACCAAGTTGCCAAGTTCAATCAACATGTCACATGTTTCAAGCAAAGGCCATCAAACCGTTCTGCGCTCTCTGCTTTATGCACGGAACATGTTGACTTATGTTGTTGAAATGACCCACGACTCGTCCGGGACCCTCGCTGACCAAGCCACACGTCTCTGGTCCCCGTCGACCAGCTGCGCGGGTGTCCACGCTCGCCCTGCGGGCCGAGCGCCTCGCTGGCGCTGTCGGCGGAGGCTTTGGCCGCCAGGGCGGCGGTGTGGTAGAGCGGGAAGTAGCCGTCCAGAGTGAAGGGAGCCACCTGAGAGCACAAAAACATTGCGGTGATTTGGTGGCTGAAGACTTAGATTATCTTACATATTTTCATACAGTTTCATGAGTTCGGTGTTATGTGTACAGGCACCCTACATGCTCCTATAGAGCTAACCCTTTGGAACTCGGTTGTTGCTTGAGATCTGTCGACTACCTGTGGACCTGTACTTGGGGTCTCAGGGTGCACCATCCGGGATGTCGGTGTTGCGCGGTGCGTGAATGTCCGAGGTTTCCGGCGGAATGTTGAGGAACGAATTGGAAGTTTGCGACTATGCCAATCAAACAATCAGGAATCTATAAAGCACAAAAGTTTTGCTACACTCGCTGCTCACCAGGAAAAACACCTCAACGTCACAGGTTGCTGGTATCTGACCATATCCACGGCACGTAGTCGCCCAAATAGAGGCTCACAGCATCCGAGGGCATCCACAAGAGTCGATCCTCGCCAGTCAACCACAGATTTTGTTCAGTGGAGGAGTCAACCAAGTTTACTTGAAGACCCTACTTTTTTTTTGCGCAGCCCGGGTGTTGATCATACTTTGCTTGTGTCCTTACCAACTCCTCCATCGTCATCATCAGCATCATCATCATCATCACCATCATCATCATCGTTCATGGGCTCTTAGACCTTCATCAGTGCACTTGGGAGTTCATGTAAATACCTTCCCTGAAAGAGAAACGTTCCTGTATTCAATTGGAACTCAACTCAAATGCTTCAAATGAATCCTTTCTAGAACGAATCCCTTGTTTGTCAGAAGAGACCCTGGATGAATGATCGAACTCATTGATCATTGACAATGGACTCCCCACTCGGGACTCTAAAGGCTTAAATCCCCAGTGCTTGAAGAGGGCAAATACACAAAACAAACAGAAATAACGCAAACGCGTCAAACACTCATGTCAGCCAAGAGTTATCAGGCTGACGAGTTAACGGTGCTATATCTTCAATCATTTCAGGCAGGAGTTCAAGCAACTGTTCCACTGGCTAACCATGCCCCCGCCCCATGTCCCCGATGTGCCCAGGGGCTGCCGGCGCTTGGCTCCACACGCCTGGGGCGCCGTAGTTGGAGCCCGGGCCGACGGAGAAGGCGCTGCCAGTGCCACCTGCTTCCGTGGAGGCCAGTTGGGCGGCGGCCTCTGGCGACGTCGGCAGCGCTGATTTGGTGAGCCCATCAGAAGGAACCAAAGCTTAGCTGAATTAAGCTATACTGTTTTTTTCCTTTTTCTGTTTTCTTTGTTTCTAATAGTGGGCTCCAACCTACTAGCGATGGCCTCCAACCTACAGGAGCCAAATCCTCACTTCCGATGGATGATGATAGAAGCTTCTGCCTGCTGATTGGAGAAGCCTCTACTATCACAGGGGGATGTGATAAGACTCTAAGGTCGAAAACTTCTGACAGCTCATTTCCATGTTGCTACCTTTCCCCCTTCGAGTTCTGGCGACCTTGACAAAGATGTTCCTCCTACACCAAACGCAGCGTTCATTTTGGGATGATCGCAGCTTCTCTTACTCTCATGTCCAGCTCGTCCAGTCGAAGTGATCGGCCCGCCTTTTTACGGTGCCGCTAAGCCGGGGGTGAAAAAGAACGATGCTCCTGAAGCCAATGGTTCTGTTCGGTTCTTTTCGGATTTTCGGATCCGAACTTTCTTCATGGCCCCGACCAGATGATGGAGTTCAACACCCAACCTCTCTGTAGCGGTCGCTCCAGATCCGCTCCAGATCCACTGTTGGAAGGTCGGTCTTGAACAGCGAAGGACATTGGTGGACGGACCGAACATGGTGCGACTGATCAGGCTGCCACATGTGGACTCCAAGCTGTAGCTGACGCATTCATGTTTATACTTCGAGTGATCAAGCATTGACCTACAGTATCCATATGGAACAAGCAAGAAAAAAGGAGGTCAAAGTCTGCTTCCTTCTAGGCAAGAACGGTCCTTTCCAAGGCCCCCACCAACCTCATGAGTATGTTGACTATTTTTTGTATAGGTTCCTATTTCAAAATACCAGAAAGCATCTACGTCCAGCAACTGATTGAATTCTGAGACTCACGTACTCCCGTGAACCTATCAAACCAGTGTGCGTTTGGTTCCTCTCTGATCAACAATCTGCAAAACGAGTTCTTCTTATTTCTTCCAAACAAACATGCAAACATGTCCAGATCCTAATGTAAACACATTGAAACATTGAAATATGCATGGAAATACACACTCTAAAACATGCATTTGAGGATACTGGTTCTCTTTGGTCTTCATCCCAAAACGCGACAGGCGCGCGCGGACGCCCGGCCTCAGTCTCGTAGAGCGGGAAATAGCCATCCAAATCGAAGGGCTGAGCGTACCTCACCGCCAAAACAGCCAGTCGAGTGGACCTTTTTTCGGAAACGTTCTGAGAGCTCGTGGAACGTGTGATGAGCGAGGACAATTTTGGACCATGTGCAGGATGTGTTGACAATTTGCATGGCCTGCAAACAGTGTGATTTTCTCCTTTGTGTGACCTTTGTTTGGGAGGTTCGACCGGTTAACTCGCTTCTGGGTATGCTTTCTCAACAAAAAAAGACACGGGCAGCTTCTTCCGTGATGCTGCAAATGGAGGTCGGTGAAACATTCGGACGGCAGGGAGGTTTTCGCATCTGGACTAGTGCAAATTGGATGGCAATGTTCACAGATTCCAATCTATAGAATGGTCGATTTGGGTGAGTTAGATCTCCAATTCCGGGCACTGACACTACGGTTTTCTACAAATCACCAATCCTTGGCTGAATTAACCCAAATCTGGGGCCCTAGCGATGTTGGGTCCCTCAAACAGAAACAAAATTGTTCACAGGCTCATTCCCAAGAAGGGAACCAACTTCGACACCATTCTTCTCCTGGAATTCCAAGGTTCAAGGTTTTGCTTAGTCTTGAGAATACCTACGATCTCACCTGCTATCTGGAATCCTTGCAATTCCAGCACGAAACCTGATAAAAACTGCCCAAAGCACAACAACCTCATTGAAGCTTTGAGTGCTCACTCTGATCCAAAAAATAACTTGTGGCACGGTCCACTGTGCACAACCCCAAAGCAATGAAACCTGCTTCCCACCTGCGAATGATGCTCCTGCATGCTCCTGCGTTCATCTGCAAATGTTGGCAACAAGAAAAGGACAAAAACCGACGACTCAGCTGGGTGGGCAAAGCCAAGGACAGCAACCTCAGCTGTGCGTTGCGTGGAACTCCGATCGACTCCGATTCGCCAGGTCACAGGCTTCGGTCGGCATGGCTGGGCCCTGGCATGAAGTAGATGACCCCATTGTCATCGCCTTAGGTGGTCTGTTCTATCACCGACAAAATCACAAAGATAAAATGGAACACTTCAGGACAACACACACACAAACACATCTTGTTCATGACCATGGGAGGCTTTAGAGTGCGAATTGCTCTCTTATGAACACAGTGGACATGTATGGCCGTGAACAAACAAAAAAACACAGTCTTGACCAAGTCTTCCTGCACCACTTGAAAGCAACAACAGGATACAAAGAACCTCGATGTCGCTCCAAAAATCCGGCGGACTGGGTCTTCTTTGGCGGTGCCTCTGCAAGATGTACTGGACCAAAAAGCCAAGCGCGACCGGCACGAAATCTCCAGGTCACTCATGGTGTGAACAGATCCATCGCGGCTCTGGGAACTGGCCTGATGCAGATGAGGTGGGGGCAGGGGTTGCACCTCCATCTTTCGATCTGGAGAAAAAGAAGAAGAACAACTAGGAACCATTACCAGTAACAGTGGATGCCTTGGGTCTATTTCAGTACCCGTAACAGTGGATGATGATGGATGATGCTGGTTAGTAGAGGCCTTTGTCTAAAGTAGTGATAATTGTTTACCAACTGTTAGAGGTAATAGGACACCCCCAATATATGTATGCTGTTAAAAAGTGTACCAATGCTATGGAAGGCTGGAAGAACGAGGGGGCCACGGTCAAAAAAGCAGCCACATGCTTGGAGGTCAAAATGTAGACCGGAGTCTGAATGGAGCACCGTGATGTTTACTGGGTTTAGTTTGGACCGATGCTTGAATGATGCACCATGATGCTTCTAAAGCCTAAGGGCTTAACATGCAATGTAGACATCATCAGCATCTGCCAAAATGTCACGAAATCCCGAACATCTTGATTTCCCAACTTAGATTGGCTGGCATTGCCAGATTTGAAATCCGAACCCGACAAACACCACTGGGGCCTGGCAAAGCCAGAACAGCATGCAGTCATCCACTAAGGCAAAATCCTTTCCACACCGTCCCGCTTGCTTCACCTGTCGCGTGCTTACAATTCTCTGCAAAGCAGCTCGCCTAGTCCTAAGCCCCCCCTCACCGCCTGTCGAAAAACAATGCTGCACACACACACACATCCACTGCGGCCCACGCTATACCTATACTCGCACTTGCGCCACTCGGGCTCTCCGCGCTACTCGGGCTCCCCGGCACCTCGTCTTCGCTTAAGAAGATCTCCACGCCCTCCTTGTACGTGGCGCCGGCGACCGTCACGTCGGGCGCCGGCGCGCTGCGCCGCTCCACAGTGGGGGCGCTGCGCCAGGCGTCGTGGGCGGCGAGGCGGACCTGGGCATCCGCTGAACTCGGCAGAAGATAAAGACCTGGGGAAAAAAAAAACACACAAAACATGGGGTGGCGTACATTGATGTGTGCATTGTTTTTTCAGGCGCGGACTAAGGACCATGGCTCCGAGAAAAGATGTTCTTCGGAATCAGGAGACGCAGCAAGATCATGTCTATTTCAAGACAATTTCAAACAAGTTATGAGATGGCGTGAGCCATGGGGCAAATTCGAATCGAAAATGCCAAATTAACGTGGCACCCATTCCGAATCTCCCGCCCTCAGCTCTCAACGCCACGCATTTTTACACAGATTCGGTTCCGCCAAGCCACACATGCTGGACGAGAGATCTCTAGAATTCCTTGTGAAGTGGACGTGGTCTCTTCCAACGTCAGCCTAGTGCGGCTAGACGTGGTCTCTCCAGCATGCGATCCTATAAGGCTTTTTTGCTATAGCCGATGCTATAATTAATATAGTGCTAGAAAAGAAGCTAAAGCAGCTTAACCAAGTACAATTTTCTTGAACACTCTATAAGTGTCTGTGAACAAATACTTGTCTGTCTTCAGAGTGAACAAAAAAAGAACACTCGAAATGCCTGCCGATGTCTGATTTGCTACCGCCAGCTGCAGACGTCCGCTTCGGCCGGAACCGGCCTTCCCTATCTTTGGTATGGTCGGTGCAAGACTTATAGCATCTGCTCTTAGTGACGTTCGAAATATATTTATATATATATATAGATGGAACCGATTTCCATTGCATGTTGCAAGGCAAGGGATGTGACTTTTCTATCTATTTGAGGGTCTAAGAGTCTCTTGTGTAGTCTACAAACATAGAATCTGCCAGTATTGACAGCCGCATACTTTCCGCTGAACAAAACCAAACCCTGGAGGGACATATTTCACCCCACTTCCAAGTTGGAGAAATAATTTGTATTGTGTGTGTTATCTATACATACAAACTCTCGGTGGCTTCAAGATGTTTTATATAATACTCAGATGGACTCAGTGATAACAAAAATATAACGGACAAGAAACACAGGGGTTCTCCAACGGATCGCCGAAGACTCGAGTTCCATCCCAGTCGCCGAAGATCGCAACCGTGGGAGTACACATGTCCTCGGAAGCTCGGCGTCTCCGGAATGAGTGGGAGGAAGCTCGGAAGGCTCGGCGTAACCGTGGGCGCCGGTGTATCTCGGAAATAGCTTGAGAAGCGACACACTATATAATAGCAACATCATGCAACACCTATAGCAAAACCTTGGAAGGGAAACAAGAAATCGTGTTTAGTTGTTTGATGACAAACTAAACTTGATTGCTCATCCCACAAGAAAGCACTACAAACGCAGGAGTCCGCAAAAGCAAGGATTATGGTTTTCGTGGAGTTCCATTCTGTAACCTGTACTTTTCACATACTTTCGACTTTCGACTGTTACAAACCAGCAGAGTCATTAGAGTCATTTGCCCCAAAAGCCGGATGATCTCACCATTCTCAAGTTGGCCATGACAAGTGGACCACTCGCAGCGCACCTGTTTGACTTTGAAATCCAAGGATCAAAAACGTGCGTTCGCTTTGTGAAACTGATTCCACCTCTCCAACTACATCCAGTTACGAAACTCTTGGCAATATGACATTGCCTTTTAAGAGACCGGAGGAGACTGGCAGGATGTTCTGCTAAGATCGTCAGATCTGAGAGAGGCTCAAACCCAGGGGGTGCCCGACCATGACCAGCCATGGGTGCCCGACCACTCGAGCGACCAGTCGTCCGTAGACGACGCCCTGAGTTGGATGGATGGTTGGACGATCACCGTTTGATGTACACGGATGTTGTCCGTAAAAGACTATCACTATGCAAAAAAAAACACCTTCCACAAGATCATGTGAGCGAGCAGAGGGGCAAGAGTAATCTCTAAAAGCATCTAAAAGCTCTGATTCCACCAACCTGGCTTGTTCACAAAGTGTTGCACCTCAAACATCCTTCCGAAGCGTTCCGAAACAATGAGTGTGAACGTTCTATGCTTCAACAATCTTCAACACGTCCAACTTCGACAAGCGGAATTCATCACATCTGGATCCACCTCCCTCAGAAGGTTTGAGTACCCACAATAGACAGTATGTCGCCCCTCCAAGTCGTGCTTACCGCTTGCAATACAATTTGTTCCTCATATTGAGCGGCCTACATGACATGCTCATTGGAGCCAGCATAAAAGCCAACATGTTTCACCCGCCTGGAGCAACGAGTCCTCCCTTTTTCACGACTCGGCCCAGTGTCTGACGAAAGCGATGGCATTTGTCGAGGCGTTGCTCCAAAAGCTCTGCGGCATACAGAAAGCGGTGGCGCTGGCGGAGGCATACAGAAAGCCACCGCAGTCCTTGAAGGAGCGGAGGTGTCGATGCGGTGTCAATGCGGTGAGGGGTGATCGGTGATCGGTGTCGAGTTGGTGTGGCGTCGAGTTGGTGTCTGACTGAAGAGAGTTGGAGGACATGGAAAGAGTTTTCAAGAACCTTGGAGCAACTAAAAGAAAAGAACAATGGACTCGACTCTTGTTCCCAGGATGACCTCCAAAATGAGAATTCATCCTGCACCCTCCCAGCAGCACCCAAAAAGGGAACCGTCAGGGAGCCCAGGGCCTAGCTTCTCAAAATGAACGTCAACCAGCTTAGCGGCGCCCCAAACACCCTACCACCAGCTCCCTACTTTTCATATCTTTTCATCCACCCCTGCATACTGTCCAAAAGGCAGACTGGCTACTGCAGAAGTCCATGGCAGCCTCAGAGTTTCGGTTGGTGAAGGCTTGGCAAATGGATGTTCTGATGTTCTCCAAGTTGGATGACGCGTGCAATCTTTTCCACTGCTGGACTGCAAACGCTCAAAACTTCCTGGATGATCATTCCGTGTTGATCACAAAGACAGAGTAAACAATTGCTCAGCACAACCCTTCGCTCAGGCTCAAGCAATATTATATCACACTTCAAGATGTCTCTGCTTACCCTGGACAACTTCAATATAAAATATCCATATTATATCTATAATTATCTATATCGCTTCCTCAACTAATACTATAATCCACACTATGCCAAGAGTTAGTCCACAGTGGCCCTTACAATTGTCGGATCTCCCTCTCAAAAGATACACTCCTCGACTCCGAGTTGGTCGCATCACGTTTGTTTCACCGAACCGCCGATGCCGCAGGGAGGGGAGTCCATCCACGGACGAGTCCGAGCAGAGGGCGGATGAGCTCACGAACTGCTCAACGTTCCGTCACGGTGTGAGCACTGGTTCCGGTCACATTTGAAACTGGACGCTGCAGCTGTCCACATCATGGAAAACAAGCTCGCAGGTTTACAGGAACAGTTATGGATCACTGCTCACTAATAGACTGCCCCACAACACTTGATCTTACCTGGAATGGCAGGTGAGACGTCTAACCCCACCAAGTCGTCCCAGTGCGGCGTCAACGACCGTTGGGTCCACCCGGTCAACCCACCCATGGCTTTCCTGTGAGACAGGTGTTGCATGGTGTTCTACAGTAACATGGTTCACACGGACGCTCTGCCCCCGATTTCGGAAGACCAAAAAACAGCTCTGCTGTTTCAGGGGGGTGAACTCCACTTCCATGTTAGTTCCAGGGAGCGTATTTGTTGCATGACATTTCCCCTTGCAATCCGAGTGGCCGTCACACTGGCATCTGTGGGAGGCGAGGCGAACGTTGTGAGGGCCGTGCAATCGGTGAAGGTTTGGTCCTGGGACGGTTTCTCTCAAGTGGTCGGGGACCAAGACATTTAGGACATTTGCACAACTTGGGAGATCGGATGGGCGTGTGGAAATGGAGCTGTGAGAAGACTTTTGGCTTTGGGTTTGAGCACTAAACAGGGAGGAGACACACAAAAATGAATTAGACAACCCCAAAAGGAGATCATGAGCGGTGCTGAGCAGTGTCTGGCACGTAGGTCTCAGGATCAGAGCTCCCGGCCAGATATGAAGAACCTCAGGGATGATGCCGTCTTTCCAGCTCCGTGTCGACCCCAAAGACAGTCCACCCCATGGGATTCTGGTGGAAATGGAAAAAAGATCACCAAACCGCATGCATTTTTATATAGATCTTAAACGTATACACTGTATATATACACATCTGACTGTTTTGTTTCGGTATATAGCACTATATATAGCACTCCTGCGGCTATTCCTCTTTGCATTCACTTTGAAAGTGCCACGCTCAAGTTCACCACTGAGGGAGGCTTCTCCAAGTGACTCTTCCAATTCTCCACATGACTGGAGACTCGGACCGAGCGCGGATCGCCCTGGACCGGGGATCGCCGGCGTTCCACCATGAGACGATCGAGACACGTCGACCGAGCCACGCTGCAGCTCTGTGGCAACATTGGCCATGGCAAAAGGTGGCAGCAAAACAAAGACCTTGAGGCAGTGGTGCAGCCACGGACGAAGGCCAGTTGGAATCAGTTTCTACCAACTCAATTTACCATCACTTCTGTGCTCCGACCAGTTTGCAAACAAGAAGCAACAATCATGTAGGCACCACCATAAAACAAAAACAACAATGAGGAAGGTCCATTCTTCATGTGTGGAAAACTTGTAGTTTGTGCAGGCCAAGTTGCGGTCCATGTCGCTGAACGCCCGTTGCGGTCCATGATGGACTCTCATGCAACCCTCATCCTCCTTGGATCAGTGAGATTATTTGAATGGCATGATTGTGACACGAACAAAACATATGGTTGTAAGTTATAGAACTTGGGTCTATCCCAGTAATAGTAAGTAAGAGTGGATGATGATGGTTAGGTTCCAGGTCTTGTTTTTGAAACAGTTATTGACTGCTACAGGCTACAGGTGAAAACTGGGACAGACCCGGTCCAGGCCGTCATAGTCAACCGGACTCCTCGAGCTGCCCTGGAGGACCGCAAAAGGGTTCGATCTCTGGGATGAGGCAGTTTTTTGGCCCAACAAAAGTGCTGAGGCTTTCGCAACGCAACAGTCTCCAACTGCGGAGGCAACTCCAACAGTTGGGATGAAAGGACGCAGGTTGGGACGAAACCCAGCGACGCTGGGTGTCAACCAACTGTTGAAAGATGAAGCCCCCCCCCGCAGCTGGGCTGCAAGGGGAGTGTAAGTTCTGCAGTTCTCCCTAGGTTGCCCAGGCTGCTTCTTCAGGCTAAAACCGAGCGACCAAACTCAGCTCTGGATGGGTTTGGACCCACCTGGTCTTCCCAAGGTCTGGATTCGTTTCTGCTCCAAGTCTCAACTTCGGTCAGGACACAGCGCGCACAGGGTCGAGAACGGTTTGGCCGAAGGAGCCAAACTCACCGGACAGAAAGAGCAGAAGGAAGGTAAAAATCAGAAGGACACATGGGTGTGTTGTTGAATTGGGAGACCCCCTGGCCCTGGCTGGTTAGACTATGGTAGACTGGTCTATGAGTCTATGGTAGACCATTCTTCGGTAACGCCTGGGGTTCGGTCTCGTTGAGGTGCATTTGGGCAACGATCCATGGTCCACACGAGTGACTCTGTCTGTCAGGTCTGGGTGACAAGCCACTCAAACGATTGGGCATGTGCAATCCTACAGGTGCAGTGACAAGCGAATAGAAGCCTCTTTAAGGTACGTTTCTCTAATCAGCTGCAAGTTCGAGATTCTGGGCTTCTTAACTAAAAGTCGGGGTTTATGTGGCAGTTTGTACGTGGCCATGCAGAAAGTGACGGCCTCTGCACAATTGCCATCCTCGCCGATCCTCGCGATATCGAGGAAGATCTTAAGCTCGATGGGTGGATGCACATCAGCACATCTTCTATGAGACTTCCTGCATTAGACGCCAAGAGTCTCAAGACTGTGCAAACCTCCCAGTGACTGAGTCACGCGCTATAAAAAGAATTTGTTTGTACGGGCAGCTTGGCCCAATGGGCACCCAAAACCCCCCCGAAACCAGGTGAAGGGATCAACATCAAAACCACCTCTCTTCCACGCGTGGGCCCCCCTTTTTTGGCTTCCCGACTCATCCAAAGATCCATGCGACGAAAGGATTCCGACACGTTCAAAGGACGTGGAAAACAAAGGCTGAAGCCTCCACTCTTCTCTTTGAGAAGGGAATGGACCATTTGCAGGATTTTGCAGGCTCAGCTAGTGCAACTCTACTACCTCTGGATACCAATAATAAAGGATCAGGGTAGCCAGGACAAAAAACAGATTCCATTCTTTTTTGTGTGTGTCACGTTTTGGTGCCGAATTATGTTATGTCCGTGTTGGGATGAGTAACGATGAACTATATACACAGGATATCCGAGCAGTAAGACAACCCAGTTCTGGTAGTCTATTGGAAGGACTGGCTGCTGCAGCATCTGCCATGATCGGTTGAAAGACACATTGGTCGTTGTAGCATTCCACTGCTGCCTCACATGGTTCCGAAACCTAAACCCTCAGTTTCCCTGAAGTGATATTTGGTCCTGGAACTTCAACCGAACTCCCCAGAAACACGGACTCTTCTCAGCGCAAGACAATTGTCGGATTACCACTGCCACACTCTCAGGCCATTCACAAGGTTTCGCAGTACACAACCCCATGCAACAAAGACCTGCAAGTGGTAGATGCTGAATTCCTCAAGCCGGACATCTTTTGCAGCATGGCATTTAGAGACGGCCATGCTTTGGGCCGTTGTTTTTTGCCTGGAAATGGGCAATTCATTATGCCAATCAATCACCCGTGCAAGACCACTGCTTTGTCTTTTCTTGAGGAAAATAGAGACACTTCGGCATCTCTACCGATAAGCGGGAATCGCAACACAAACCATCCAAAAGTCATGGCAGGAACGTGGTTTGTGTGCCCCACCCACTGGGCCATTTAAATATACGATCTCAACCGCAAATGCTGTTTGTATGTGTGTTTTGTGACTACATACCTGCAGCCTTGTGGTTGCTTCGAACTTTGGTCGGTTGCTCGACATATTTTGATATAGGTCTGTGAACCACATCCGCAACCAAAATCAACATCCGCTGAAAAAGCATATTTGAGGAAAAACGCCCGTGGCTCACCAATAAAAACCCGTAGCTTGTATGAACGCCCGCGGAATATCGGACATATAGAGAAACATCTGCAGACTCAAATATAAGGCAATGACTCCAAAAATGGTTTCATGCCGCAAATTAGAAACACACACACACACACTGAGGAAGTTCTAATATATTCCACATCCAGTGTTTTTAAATGTGCAAGTGGATGCAAGTGGGTTGAATGAAATACCGTAGTTACAGTAAGTAAACATTTGCAAAAAGAGCAACACGTCCTGCATGTGTGTGCAACTCCACGAAACCCTGCAGACTTGCTGACCTTTGCCTTTGACCTTCACACTTTTCCCCTTCATGTGTCGTGTGACTCCCATCTCCAGCAGCTGCTTCCCCTCACACCTTCCACTACTTCTCCCACTACCAGGAGCAACAGTGAAAACCGTGCGAGCTGATGATGTGACGCGAAAATGACTGGCTGCGGTGTGAATCAAAGATTTGCTGAACAAAACATGCTCGATTGAACATCATCAGCATGAAACACATCTGTGAAATTCACGTAGTGTGTCTGTATGTGTGTCTTGATATCCACATAGTCAATCACACTCATATAAGAAATTGGTGTTCCAAGTCCCAAATTTGGGGGAGCACCACAAGTTACGGCCGGAAAATAGCCGAATATGTCCAGATTTAGGGGGCAGCTTGGACCATGGTGAAGTTCAAATTGAAATCGATTAAGAGAAACCCTAAACCCTAAACTCCTGAAGACTCTCCAAAGAATCTCGCTTTAATTGGAATCCAAATCAACTACTAAAGCCTAGCTCCTGGAGGACAATCTCACGTTAGAACCCAAATGAACCCTTCGTTTTTGGCCGACGCCGCTTCGTCCTGCGTCACCCGTGCGTGACCACGTCACTTCTGCCAGTTCATCAGCTTGGCTGCCAGGCTCTTTGCGCTTCGAAACCTGGCACCGGTGGGCTTGGACGACGACACGAGATCGAAGCCAGGACACGAGATCCAAGCTCCTTGTTTGACAAGAAAGGAATTACAGTTATTTAATCGTATTCAAGTAATATGTACTTGTGCTGCACTAGCTCAACATAGCCCAAACAAAGCCTCCCCACCCTGCTTCGTTCTACCATCCCAACATAATCACCGGACACCCCCCCTTCCGCATCGGACCCAACGAGCTCTTCCCTTTCCGCTTTCGCTTCGCTTGGTTTAGGAGCTGGTTCTCGTCGAGCTCCATGAAGCCGGCGACGCGAGGGCCCACGTTCTCCCCCTGCCAAATGTCCGACAGGCTATCTCTCCTGGACGTCACGGTGTCACGGTGCAGGTGCAAGAAGGAGGAGGTACATACAGAGTCTCCCGACTTGATCGGTGGAGGACACCGATTTCGGTGGGGTCGGTCATGCGAAGAGTATCTTCTCCCACGCCACGTCGTAAATCGAAGGACTTGGACAACGGATTCGAGATCCCTAAGCACTTCAGTAGACTGTTTAAGTTCAGCCACAAGCGGAGTCGAGCAAAAAACAAGGCTGTCAAGAAAATACAAATATTTTCAACAACACAATTAAAACATTCGAGACCCGATGATCCCATGTGTCTTGATCAGAGGGCTACTGATCAAACCCTGTCTGCTCAATGTTCCTTGTTACACGTTCCCGCAAATCAGCTGGGTCTTCCCTCCATGTAAACGTCTGTATATACGTACGATTCAGTACGTCTATTCGGTCAATTGACTCCAAATGTGGATCAAAACCAGGAGATCTTCGTTGAACACCATTCGTGGACCGGTCTGGTCCGGCTCCAGGTTGAAGGACCAATCCCCGAACTGTCTGTGCTTTCTGCGCTTCCTGTCTGGGTGTCCTGTCTGGTGACCTATAAGCAGCTGCGTCCCAGGTCCCGTCCCAGGTCCCGAACGGAAGCAGCTGGTGGTCTTTCCTTCGAGGCGGACTGTCTCCCGTCGTCCGGTCTGACGTGAGTTTTTCGGGGTCGACGGGAAGCCGGCCATCGGTTCTGCCGGGGGGGCGGCACTGAATTGATCCACTTGATAAAGTTCATCACCTCGGTGAGGCGGCGATCAAGCCAAAGACGAAGACGAACGAGGGGGTTTGTTGAAGCGCTTGTCCGTGGCGAAATCCTTGCGATTTCGCAACAAAATAATTGAGTTTATTCCGTTAGAGTTGACCGGAAAGGGCATGGACAACAATTCAACAACGCTGCATGTATATTTCCATGCAAACTGTGTAAGATGTCTTGCCCCTGGGAATCTGATCCCAAATCCTCTACAATGGAAAGCCCAGAATTAGAACCATCCCCAGTTCTGCCATCTTTGGTTCTTGACTGTTAGCACCATTTGTTAATCAAACACCTGACAACTCCGAAAAGATCTACTTCCAAAATCCGCAACCTTTCCCAGGGTCCCATCGCTGTGTCCCAGGTCTTTATTCCTTTTGTCGAGTGGCATATGTGTGCGCTAGAGCGGCGGCATCGGGGTTCAGGTTGACGATGCGACCGAAATGGAGCGGATCCAGGACCATCCTGGCATTCCATGCGGAGTACTCCTTCTCTTCTTGCTTCACATTCCATGCGGCAGACTCCCCGAATGGAATCCGTTTAAGGAAATCTTTCGTAACAAAACAGCGAGCCACATACCAAGCTCAACTTAGAGCCACACCACGTGTAGATGGAGCAAAAGATCCGTCCATGAGGTCAACTTTCGGAAAAGGCGGAGTCCCCATCGGGCGGGTTTTGGACGATTCTTAGAGGTTCATTGATTGATCTTCTGCTGCGGTTTTTGGACCCAAAGATGACCAAAGTGGAACAGATCTCGGGATCCTTCTCGGTCGCCGGGAATCCTAAGAAACCAGAAACACCCCGCCCAAACGACCCACGATGAATGACCCAGCACACACGTAACACACACCACACCTTTGTGCCACCTCCCAAATGACTGACACAAACACACACACACAACAAAAATAACGATAAATAAACCAATCCAACAACATGACAATGATCCTGACTGCTTTGGCTCCAAGGCACAGATCGCTCTCGGTCATGGAGATCAACAAGCCCAGGTGGATCCAACTGTCTGTCCAAAGCACAGGCTCCGAGATCCAATCCTCCCCTGCGCCGGGCCACGCGCCGAGTTCGCACCGATGAAGCACCAGGGTTTCGTTCCGATGAAGCAGGTAAAACCATGGCGCCATGGAAACAACATGTAACATGACTCAATTCTTTGGGTAGCATGGTTGGCCAAAGTGTTGCTACTTGAGGTGGTGGCCTCCTTGGGTGGAATTGGGTGGAATTGCCCGATGTGAACACAATCCAACTATTCCTGTCACTCTCCTGTAGTTGGTTTTGGATCGCTTGTTTGCCCCGCTTATGGATCCATATTATCTATCACTATGAACTAGTCCCAAGAATAGTGACAAGACCTAGTTGCAACCATCACCACTCCACCATCATTTCTGGACCAGCAATGGATTCTTTGTATATGTCCTTCCCCGTGCAGCCGTGCTGGGCACATGTATTTCCTCCATTTCAGGACCAGGGCATCCAGTGAAGAATCGCAAGTGACACATGTTGAGCTTTTAACATCCAACGTAGAAAGAAACATCTGCCACCAGCCCGAACAAAGAAACCAAACACAAACTTAAGTGAAACCCATAGTGAAGCACACAAAAGGAGATCAAGACTCTAGTTCGATTCGTACCTAGCTTTACCCACATCGATTCAATGTTTAGGGCAATTCCTGAAATCCACTTGGATGGGCCCAAAGAATGCTGTAGCCACATGGTCAAAGGTCTCATGTGTCGTAGGTAGCCTGTCTCCAAAGAGACCGATTCCATACACATCCATAGACCCAAAACTGCGGCTGATTTTCATCCACAGATGCCCGTTTCCCATTTTGGGTGACTCGCAAGAAAAAACAGGTCTGCGGGACACGCCCATGGCCTTTGTCCACTAGCTCTTTGTGCTCATTTCCTTTGGAGTCAATTCTGCTGTAGATCAACCTGCCAACGCAAGTCATGTCTGGCTTTCGGAAAGCGGAGGAAAGTGGAGAATTGAAAGGCACCGTCCGAACGGTCCCGCTGCCGGTGAAGCTGCGGCTTCCGCCGTTTGCAATGGAGATTGAAAACCAAAACTGTACGATCAGAACACATGAAATCATTCGTATATAGTACGTAGATTGAACTGACTCTTTTTGTGTGACTTTGTGAAAAACTGCACTTTGAATGGGGAACTTGAGTGGGACTAGTTTAAGCACCTGTCAGAAGTTAGAAAACCCCTTGCACCTAGATGTTCCTATAAAACAAAACAAGAGATTGTATATATTATATAAGGGTGTAAGTTGTACTGTGTTTCTCTGATCCGGAAATTCTGACTCAAATCTGCAGAAGAAAATTACTTTACTTCGAGTGATCCCCACCATGACATTTCAATCATTTGACTTGATGCCATAGTGAGGAGCATGTTGCCATGGTCGTGGGTATTGTAGTTCTCGATTTTGCTTGTGGGTCCTCGGGTTGTGTGCTGCGGTTGTGTGTTGTGGTTGTGGTTGTGTGCTGTGTTGTGGTTGTGGTTGTGTTTGTGATTGTATGTTTATGGCTGTGTGTTTGTGATTGTGTGTTTGTGGATGTTTTTGCGGTTGTGCTTGTGGCTGTACGTTTGTGGTTGTGTCTTTGTGGTCGTGTTGTTGTGGTTGCGTGTTTGTGGTTGTGTGTTTGTGGTTGTGTGTTTGTGGGTGTGTGTTTGTGTGTTGTGTTTGTGTGTTGTGGTTGTGTGTTTGTGGTTGTGTTTGTGGTTGTGTGTTTGTTGTTGTGTGTTTGTCGATGTGTTTGTGGTTGTTGTGTTTGTAGTTGTGTGTTTGTGGTTGTGTGTTTATTGTTGTCTTTGTGGTTGTTCATTCTATCTGGCATATCTTCTGGCATTCTATCTGGCATATTTTCTGGCATTCTATCT